GCTCGGTCAGGGAAGGGGGATATGGAGGGGGGGCGGGGGGACTCTTCGCGGCAGATGCGATCCTACAGAGCGGCCATGGAGAAGGACTGTCACAGAGTCCTTCCCCGAGCGGCTCCTGGAAAGTACACGGGAGAGGGGAAATGGGCATCGGTTCGCGCATACACACACACGTCACACACACAGTCCTGATTGCGAGTACTGGTGCCCCCCCCCGCCCCTCTCCTTCTTAACATCCAGTTCTCTTCCCCCCACCCCCCTAGACACACACACCTCGGCGCAAGTCAAGTTGGGCAGAGAGGGGAAGGTATAATTGATTGGTTCATGCATGATACATGCGTGGTACAAGACACATTGGAGGGGGGGGGGCTGTCAATCGCATTGAGGATCCCCTGCGAGGTGTAGTGGTGTGTGTGGTAGCGCTCAGCAGCAACGCTCCTGGCGATACACCGGAAAGGACGGGAGTTGGGGCGGGGCGGGGGGTTGGTGCGACTGACGACGGTGGCAGCCCCCCCCCCCTCTCTCTGACAAACACATACAGTGGACTAGTTTCGACGAGACATGGGTATGAAGCTTAGCCAGTTCCACTTAGTTTTACACCCCCCTATTCAGAGACTTTGTTTCGTAATCCTTGTTTCACTCCCTTAGCCCGGAGGGTGGGCCGCCAAGTGCGCCACACTGCCACTGCTCACCCCAATCGCACCCGCCCTTGTGCCCGCAGATGCAGAACATCCTGTACCACAACTCGAGCGGCAACGACGCCTTCACGGGCAACCTGAAGCACCGCGAAGTTCATCGCGCCATCACCCTCCATCCCATCAAGCAGTACCGCCACCTGTACCGCGTGCACAACTACCTGGGGGTGAGTATGCGCGCGTGCGCCGGGCTGTCTGGTCGTACGAGGTGGTACTTCGTGTTCCATCTGACACGCTAACCTTTGTGCTCTGCAGCAACTCAAGATCCAGGACTCCTGGCAGCAGGCGCTGTCCCTGCACCGCGACATAGTGGCCATGCTGCAGCTGCTGGGCCAGGACCCCGCCCACGCCGACGACGCGCAGCTGGCCCAGAACGTGCCGCTGTTTCACGCCAAGCGCGGCGACAGGGACTACCTCGGCGACTCGGCGCTGCTCGGTGAGTGATGCGCCCTCAGGAGCCAGTCAAAGGAAACGAGAGCGGCCCCGTGACCTTGTCGTGACCTCCTCGCAGGGAAGCCGCCGGGTCTGAACAAGTCCCGGCCGCGGCGCGAGGCGGAGGTGCTGCCGTGGGACTTCATCTCGCGCTCGCTGTTCTCGGCGGGGCACGCCAACCCTCGGCGGCGCATCGAGTCGGCACTGCGCGAGGGCATGGACGACGTGGTGCGCGAGGTCATGGACATGATCAACGCCTTCTCCAAGCAGCGCGGCCGCGTCATCGAGTACCGCGAGATCCTCTACGGCTACCACCGCCTCGACCCCGTCTACGGCGCCGACTACATCCTCGACCTGCTCCTCGTGTACAAGAAGTACCGCGGCAAGAAGATGACGGTGCCCGTGCGGAGGCACGCCTATCTGCAGCAGCAGTTCACCGGTTCGTATGTGGATGTATATCGTAGGTGCCAAACGCCATACGGCGCCTGAGCTCGAACAAGTAGGCAGCCCGCCCACGCGCATGCATGCGGCACAGCATAACTACGGAATTGCCTGTGGCGTTTGTCTATGTAGGTCGCTGCTTCTGTAACGGCGCGTGTTCTGTTCAGGCCTGGAGATCCGCGAGACGGTGGAGGGCGAGGAGGTCGGGCGGCAGCCGCCCCCGGACCTCACCCAGTCCGAGGACGGCGACGACGCCCCGCCGCAGCCGGGGTCCTCCTTCCGCGAGGCGTTCGAGAGCGGACTGCTGCGCATCGGCGACGCCCTGCCGTCCATCCTGGGCCGCGACGGCCGCGACGAGGAGGCCCGCGACGAGGCCAGCGTCAGGCGCAAGATGATCAACTTTATCCTCCCCCTGGCCGGCCGCTTCTCCACCTTTTCACGCTTTATATCGGTTTTTGAAGAGGAGTGTCTGATGAACGCGGAGCAGGTCAGAGCTTAAGTCACAGAATCACCCCCCTCCCCTTTCCGAGCCCCTTATGTCAACATGTTTTTTTTCGCCTCCAGGTGGCGCTGTTCGTCATCCTGTTCCCCAGCGAGCAGGAGGTGTCCGTCAACGAGACCGTGTCCCTGATGAGCTCTCTGCAGCGGCGCTGGCCGCAGCACCGCCTCGCCGTCGTGCCCGTCTTCGACAGCTTCGCGCGCGCCCTGGCGCTGGAGATCGGCGCCGCCCAGGTGAAGGACGGCGAGGAGGACCTGCTCTTCTTCGTGGACGTGGACATGGTGTTCAACAGGGCGACGCTGGAGCGCATCCGCGTCAACACGATCCGAGGCCGCCAGGCCTACTTCCCCATCGTGTTTAGCGAGTTCGAGCCCGCCACCGTGTACCGCGACCAGGGACTCTCCGTCGCACCCAACCACTTCCTCATCAACCAGGACACCGGCTACTGGCGGCAGTACGGCTTCGGCATCGTCAGTCTGTACAAGAGTGACCTGCGCAGGGTGAGTGCTGACGGCGGCTCCCGCGGACATGTGCCGCGCCGCACGAATCGCGATGATCGGACTTGTGAAATTGAACATCTGCTGTTCGACAGGTGGGCGGCTTCGACACATCCATCCGCGGCTGGGGCAAGGAAGACGTCGACCTGTACGACAAGTTTGTCGCGTCCATGGCGGCCAACAACGTCTCCGTGTTCCGCGCCGCCGACCCCAACCTGGTGCACGTCTTCCACATCGTGGACTGCGACCCCAACCTGGAGGCGTCGCAACTCAAGATGTGCAAGGGGACGCGCGCCGACACCCTGGGCGGCGTGAGTCAGCTTGCGCAGGGCGTCTACGCACAGGGCAGGGCCATCCTAGACTTCGCGAAAAAGAGAAGAGCTGCTGCCCCTGCGGCCAGCGCGGCTGGCGCCGGAGGCACCGGGAGCTGACGCGGAGCTGAAGTAAAAGCTGACACGCTGCCGTCGTATACTTAATTGCTTCCTGTGGAAGCACTGTGATGTGATAACTCGTACAAACGCTGACTGACTGGACTGCCAAAGCTGCAGTGCGGCCGCGGCGGCCCTGCCTTCGTGAGGCGAAAAGCAAACTTATGAACGATGTGTGATAATGCTAATTTTCAGTCCACAGACAGCAGTCGCAAAATTTGTTAGTTGTAAGGAAATAGGCTATCCAAGTGCGATCGAGTGCGATTGTAGTGTAAATATCAGGGGTTGAGTAAAGTAGTTCATGCCATTGACTTTCAATGCGAGGTAAATCGTATTACCGATTGTCATCACAATGTAGCCGCTGGTTCGGACTGCTTGCACGTTTACTTGTTTCTAGTCGTTGGCGTGTAACATTTTATCTTCCAACATAATGTATACATGAGGTTGTGATGAGTTTCATATATAATTTATGAAAATTCTATCAAATATACTTAAGCAGGGAAGTACAAGACTAGTGTAAATAATAAGTGTAATAGTTGTATTGTGAAGTTTCTCAAGACGGACGACTTATTTCCACTTTACACGCTGTGATATTTTAATTGTATGTCATTTTGAAAGAAATTTGAGATTATAAGGTGAGCTTTCCTTGTCTCTGAATTCAAATGTAGGTGATGTGCCGCTATGTGGATACAGTTGTATAGAATAAACATATTGTCCAATCTTATTGTAGTCGATACTAGTTGACGTAATCCGCAAGCTTGTTTTTGATTTTTTAACATGTCAGCGGGGTCCCCGGTACACACCATTTACCATCCACAATGGGGAAGTAGGGAGAGAGGGGGGGACTAGAGTGAGAGGCAGGGTGGGGGAGAGGAGGTGGAGTTTGGGAGGGGGGTTGAAGGCCCGGCGCCGCTCCCAGTCCTGCCAACTCTCCTCACGACGATGGCCGCCCTCAAGATGTGTCTGTTCTTGGCAGCCTCCGCCGCGGTGCTGCTCCAGCCGGAGCCGGCCAGCGCAGGGGTATTTTGGACAGCCCCAGATGAAAGCCGTCGGTCGCCAATGATTACATTTGTTAATTTAGAGCTGAATTGATGTGAAGGGGGTGAGCGGCCGCGTTACCTGATGACCTGAAATTTTAACTACCTCACACAAAAACGGTAGCAGTGAAGACCCATTTACATAGTACTTAAGTGGTGACTGACGGCTCGATCTTAATAAGTGGTGACTGACGGCTCGCATCTTAAACATTGTGTAACCGAGTTCAAATGTTCGACCTCTTACAAAAAAATATCTTCTGTTTGCTACCAGAAGCACGCCAGCAAAGCTCCCGGTTCCGGAAAGGTAAGTCCCTTCTCTGAGCCGGGTTCCCTACATAGCGTTAAAATATAGCACTGTCTGATCCCATGAACGTCATCGAAACAGGGTGCACGCTTTTTCAAATGGGCGTCAGAGCAGCTGCCCGAGGTGTCCCTCAAGTTGGTGAGCTGCGTCAAGAAGAACGACAAGGAGGTGCGGGAGTCGCTCGGCAACATGTTTTCCGACGTGGGGCGGTGCTTCGATGAGGCCAAGGGCTCGGTGCTGAGCACCTCAGAGTGCCTACTCGCCAACGGTGTGCCCCACATGCAAGGCGCACTCGGTGTCACCCACCGTGTCCTCGCCTGCGCCTTTCAAAAACAGAAGTCCGAATTCCGGCTGTGTTTGTCCGCTACCACCGCAGGAGACGAGTCGTGCCCTCTAGCTGTCGGCCTTTAGTGCGTTGTCGCCGTTTATGTGGAAAAAAAATTCAGCAAGCATTCTGTGAGACAGTTCTCAGACAGACATTGCACCCAAAATAAAAAAATTGTTGTGAGGAATTTGTACGAAGGACCTAAGAGTTAAGTATGCTGACAAATAAAAAAAGTAACATTACATGCTATGTTTTTCCTTAACTTCAATTGTGTGGTCGAGCACAACAAGAGCATGCCATCGGTCGCGTAACTGCTCCTTAACAGGGGTGCGGTTTGCCCAGGGTTTGCCTCTCGTAACGATACCTTTGGCGCCTTGTGGTTTGATAGACCCGCCTAACACACTGGCATGCGCTCGGGCATGCGGTACATTACGGAATCAAAACCATACAGGGTCTGTAGCCTATACCAAGTGGCTAACCCCGCGCACTTTGTAGTCATACTGTACCGCATGCAGCAGTGCGGGCGGGTTGCCTACTCGCCTCCCGCAAGGCGCCCAGGCGCCGTTTGGTCAGCTACAATAGGCAAACCCGGCTGCACTCCTGCATGCGGTACAGTGACTAGAAGAATGCGCGGGGTTAGTCAGCCTCCTGGTGAGTACAGGGTGGCCCACAGACAGACGTGGTGAGAGACCCTGGGTCGAAGGGGAGCCCATCCTCCCTCTATATGAGGAGACCAACTCCTGGCTCTGACAACGACAACTGAATACAGTATTCGCTCCCACAGCTAATTTTTAATCGATCATCCCAAAATTAACCAATTATTAGTTCTGATGACCAACTCATTTTTTTCCACACGGAGAATTCAATTCAAATAAACACTCGAGAAGAGCAAGGTCTATCGTCATTCCGGTCCAGCGACAGCAAATTATTGGCCATGCCAATGCCAGTCTTCTTTAGGATAGCTAGGGCAGAAACTGATGTAAGGTACTCGCTCGCAAAGCTCATAACGCGGTTTGTATGAGAGAGATAGAGGGGGACATCCGGAGGGGCTGGGCTCGCCCCCCTCCCCCTTCTCCCCCGTGCGCCTGGGAGGGGGTTGAAGTAAGGGGTCTGCGGGGAGTTCCTGCCTTGTCGGCCTGCGCTCCGCCTGGCCGCCCCCAAACAATACGCTCGCGCCCCGCCGCTGATGCTGGACGCCCTGGCGTCGCCCTGGTGGGGGCGGCCCTGGGCGCTGTCGTAGACGGCGGCCGGCCACTGCACGAGGAGAACCTGCCCGCCATGACCGCCGCCAGATATGTGTTCAGCTCGCTGGTCGCGGTCGTCTGCCTCGCCGGCCTGTTTCGCGTGGGTGTCTGATGGGTCGGCCGGGTAGGGCGCGAGGCTCGAGCTAAAGGGTGCGACTTGTTCCAGGCGGCAGCGGCCGGCACCACCCCTGCCGGCGCCACCGCCGCGGCCGGGCCCGCCACCACCCCGGCTCCCAGCACAGTCATGAAGAACCTCAAGAAGGTGAGTGTGCGATTCTCTGAAAGAGTGGTGGAACGTTTCTCACCTCAAACCAAGTGTATTTGCAATGGTAAACCGATATCGGAGGGGAAAATGCTGCGGCTTGTCATTCCGTATCCCTCCTCCTTCCAAAACAAAGTTTTCAAATCGCAATATATCCAGCCCATCAAATCAACACTTACTTTAATCCGCACGGACCAGCGAGATCCTAAAAACGGACGTAACGGCGGCGCCACAGGGGGCCGGTTTCAAAGGGAAGAACGCGAAGAGAGCTGGGAGAAGAGCCCTTGAACAAACGGGGCACTGCCGCACCCTGGCCCACCTCTGGCCCGCCCCTGGCCAGGTCCGGGGGCCGTCCACTGCCCGTCCCGTCTGATCCGTAACGTGGACGGTCCCTGTGTTGGCAGCTGGAGGAGTGCGCGGGCGGGCCCAGGGCGCTGGAGGAGGAGAGCATCGGCACTTTCAACCCGCAAGATCTGGCGAGTCCGCGAGCGTTCCGCCGCGCCGCGGCGCGCCAGCTCGCGAAGCTCGCCGTCATGGCCATGCGCTGCGCCGCCCCGCACGTCTTCACCGTCATCGCGGTGACCTTCAGGCTGCTCTTCATAACGGCCAAGTGCATCGTCACCTCCATGGGCTCTATAACCGTGATGGGTGGTTGCATGGCCATCAACGGCGCCAGGGTCACCTTCCCCCTCATCATCGTCAGTTTCAAGATCAGCGTGTGCATCCTCAAAAAACTCGCGGAAAAACCGAAGCCAGGCGGTGCCACCACCACCCCAGAGCCGGAGGAGCTCCTCGACTTCACGACGTCTGACGATAGGCGCCATCGCCACCACTAGGAACACAGCAGGCGCCAGCTCCTTCTAATATAAATAAATAATTGTCCTTCCTTAAAGAAGCTAAAATGTGTTAACTAAGTTATTAGGCTAGTCTGAGTGCAGGGGAATTCAGGCTCCAAGCACTGACGCTCGGCCTTCCTGTCCCGGCAGGATGCGTTGACCATCCAACCAGGAGTGAGACCGGGATCGGGCGAGGAAGAGGAGCAGGCGGGTGCAGTCCAATCCAGAGACATGTACCTGCGTTCGTCATTCGAGGTCCTGTACACGTCATTGTTGGCTGCCACAAGGGTGCCCGATGAGGTGGACCCACCCACATCGGTTTTTATCAGTTACGTGATACCATGCCTCCAGCAAAAACACCTTGCGCTCGCCATATCCATCTACCAGATCGTCTATGAAGGCATAGGCTGCCAACTCAAACATCGCCGCAAGTGGAAGGATGTACTAATCTGTGTGCTTGAGGGCAACACGCCCAAGAACCTGCTCACTCTGACGGAGCTCGCAGTCGAAGTCTCCAAATGCACCTTGCAATTACTGAAAGAACAGGAGAATGAGCAGCAGGTGGCCTACAGCGCCCAGTTGGACTGCTCCAGGGCGATCTCGGTGTTTCATTCCCTAGCCAAGGGAACGACCGGCATTTTGGCTCGCAATGCGCCCCAACTCTGCTCGGCCATCAGAAGGGACATGTACAACGTGTACCACAAAAACTAATAAATGTCTCAGACTGTCACACAGACTCTGCTTCCTCTACACAGTCGCCCCTTTATCACACACAGGTGCTAGCGGCGGTGGACCCCAACGGAGTCGCAGACAGCGTGAGCAGGTTCGTCTACTGCGCCTCGCACCACTACAAGGCCCTGGAGAGCGGGGTGGCACCGCACGCGGCCGAGTGGGCCACCTGCAACAAGCAGCCCTCGAACCTGCAGGGAAACGTCGCCTGTTTCATCAAGAATCCAAACAGCCTACTAAACTTCGTTTTGCTGGGGCAACAAGTGAGTCTTTGTGAGTGTGCCGACGCGCGGGAAGGTATCCACACATGTTTAAAAATGCACATTTTAAAGCTTGGTTTTCTTTTCCTAGATTGGCGACATGGTGGGCTGCCTGTTGATGACCAGTGAGAAGAACGTTCTGTGCGTCAAGAAGGTCCAGAAGACCGATGATTGCGCCAGCATGTGCCCCGAGGCGCGCTCCGCCTGGTCCAACAGCACCTTCGCCATCGTGTCCCCTGCCCTCCCGCCGACCGTGCGCAAGGTGAAGGGCACTGCACAGAGCACTATACACACGAGCGCAGACGCTCCTCGGTCACCTGTCACTGTCATCGTCACCCTTCTTCCAGGACGATTGCAAGCTCACGGGCAAGGGGCTGACCACTCCGGGCAGCAGCATCCTGCCGACCGCCCTGGACATCACATTCAAGCTCATGCAGTGCATGCCCACCCACTTCGGCGATATGTACCAGAGCCTCATGGAGCAGGTCAAAATCATCAACCAGTGCACGCAGGGCCACGACAACTGGACGTCCTGGAGCAAGTGCGTGCTGGAGGCCCAGGACGGCAACGTCCTGGCGAGCTACCTGGTCAAGGTGACTACAGGGTCGCGAAAGGCTTTGAGCGCTTTGGGCATACCGGGAGCAATAGGCATTCCCCTTCGTCGAAAACCGCGTGAAACTTTGCGATCTTGACCCGACATCCTGACCATGCTGCAGCTGAGGCTCACGGCGGTCTGCGTCCTGGGGGGCGACATGCCAGCCCAGACCCTGTGCGTCCGCGCCGTGCCGACCACCGCCGAGTGCCGGGCCTGCGGCGGCATGGACACGACGACCCTGGAGCCCGCCATCGTCCTGGGGCCCACGGCTCAGTGCGCCCCGTAGGGCGCCCCGTAGGCGCGCAGGCTGGGCGGCGCGCGGGCGCGACTGGCTGCCTCCCCCACAGGGGCTCGCCGCGGCCGCGGGCCCGTTAACAACAAGGGCAGTCATAGATAATCGCGAAGACGACTGGATCGTCCACCACCAGCCCAACAATCGAAACGAGATGAAAATGGTCCGAATTCCAGCAGGAGCGTTGTTTTTGTCCAACCCCTGCCCAGGCGCTGTGACGCACATGCCCGCCCCGGGGCCCCCGGTCGTCGGTGGCTCTGCTCTCTGGCTGCTCTGCTGTGGCCTTGATTGCCCTGCCGGCCAGAGCGATCAACGACCCCAGGCGCGGCGCCCGGACCCGGACCCGTCTGTCCGGCCGGCCACGGACCTTACGGACCTTACAACGACAAGGACCCAGGGCAGGGACAGGGACGCTGTTACAGAAGGGTATGCGCCTCGCGCCCACCACGGGACTGCTCTGTGCGCGGTGTGCGGGCACCGGGCCGGGTGGAGTACGAACATTATATGGCACGGGCAGATCCATCTCCATCACGGCACGAGAGGAGGGCAAGGGGGTGGAGGAAGAGGGGGGGGGGCGTTACCGCGGCAAAAGTTGAGGCAGCGCGTAGCAGTGGATCAATCTGCTGCCGCGAACCAATCAGAGCGCGGCAGCGGGGGCGCGGTCCACGCACTCCCCCCCCCCTCACCCCACCCCCTGGGCCCGTGGGGTGCGGTGAGGTGAAGGGTGAGGCGGGAGGGAGGTGAGGCGGAGCCGCCGCTCGCCAGCCGACCGGCGGCGGCAGTCGTGGTGGGGAAAGGGAGAGGGAGGGAAAGGGAAAGGAAGGGGGCCGTGAAAGGCAGAGCGGCGGCGGCGGCGGAGGCCCAGCTGAGCGCCACCGCCGAGTCCACCTCCCGCGGCTTCCTGTCGTCCTGGTCCTGAGAACATTTCCCCGGCCGCCATGCTCATTCCAACCCGCATCGCTGGCATACTTGGCATCGCAGCGCATGGCAGCAGCGCCTCATGGCGGCCGGCTGGCCTGGGCGGCGCGGTGCCATGAGCTCGGCCGCGCGCCGCTTGGCTGGGACCACGGCCGCGGCCCCCGAGTGGCAGCGGACCCCAGCCGCGCCAGCCGCTGAATCCTCCAGGTATGCACCGGGAAGCGTCATGAAGCGCGCGTCCACGGAGTCACTGCACATCGCCACCAGCAACCAGCACCAGCTGCTGGGCGAGAGCTGCGGCCTTCGGCCAGGGTCGGGTTGGATAGACGATCCCGTGAGGGAATCTGGCACCCGACATGAGAGCCCGATGAGCACGAGCACTATGGCCGGGCCCTGAGTCGCTCCCGTCTACGATCAAGTCCCTCTGGCTCGTGTCCGCCGACCCTGTGCCCAACCGCTTCAAACGGGCACCATCCCCGGTGATTCGATGTACACCGTTCTGTAGCGGCAGGTGAACCGGGCGGCCCATGGACGCGCGCGCGAGACGGGGTGGGAAGGGGTGAGGGCGGTGAGGGTCGGGAGTGGGCGGTGCGGACCGTATTGATCGTGCGACGCGTCGATTTCGCCGGCAAACGGAAGGCCTGGCTATCCTAGCCGGCATGGTTCCCTCTTCGGAGTTAGCCTGCCGCTGAGCCGATCTGAGCAACTAGGGTAACCGTGAGCACGCGGATGGCAACCGTACCACCGTACCCTCACGAGAAAGAAACCAGAGTGACTTCGGTGCTCGACTCGAGAGGGACTCGAGGGTCGCTAGTGGGCAGGCGTGCTTCTCAGCCCCTCAGCGTGCCCTCTGTCGTCAACATCGGTCACCAACTCCGCTCAGTCGACCCCACGCCACGGCCGAGTCACATCGCGCAGTGCGGACGAATGTCTCGTCCGTTCCCCCGGGGCTGTTCGATCCCACCATACCGTGGAGCAACCCCTTACTCGCACCCCTCTCCTCCCCATCCTCGACCGGCGTCGCCGCAAATCGCAATCCGCGAGCCCGGCTGGTGAAATGTCCACAGTCCCCGCCTCGATGTGGGCGACGCATGGTGCATAGTCCGCATAGTATGTCGTGCGATGTCGTGCTTGACTCCGGAATCGTGCTCGAACCGAGATCACGGTGGAGAGGGATGGAGCCGACCGCCCCGACTCGAAAGGGTGCGCAGGGCAGCTACACGGAAGCGGGAAGCTTCGGTGCGCAGCGGAGGAACTTCCCTCCGACAACTGTTTCCAGTGTTTTCATCCGCGTCCGCTGTAAAGTACCAGTAGCGGCGTCCCGTCCCCGTCAAGGGTCTTGTGACGGCCTGGTGTCGGCGCATTTGGCCGCTTGTTTGGCGGCTTTGGGGCTCGGCGATCAGCTAGTCCGAGGAGGTGTCCCTCTCTCCTCTCACTGCCGCACCCCCTCTCACTTCACTCTGCCGCCTCTCTCCCTCTCACCGCGCCTCCTCGCGGCGCGGGCCCGGCCGCCGGGGGGTCCCCCACCTCTCTGCACTCGCGCGGTGTGGCGTGGGGCGGCGGGGTGCGGGGTGGTGAGGCCGCGTTGCGCGGTGGTGGTGGGGCCTAGGCTGACCAGCGGTCAAGCCTTGGGCCTAGCGCTGCGGCCGCTGCCACCTCCTGCGCGCCTCTGAGCGCCTGGCGCCAAGGTGGCTCAATCCTGACGACGTCCAGCCCCAAAACTAAAGGCATTGAACGCTCAGAGCTTCTCAACAGATCGTCCACTCTGAACGCAGAGTCGGGAAACTACTGAACCTTGAGAGGAATGAAGCTAGGGCTGCGCTGCGCTGGTCTTTCCTGGTCTCTCCTCTCCCCCCCC